GGGGGGGGGCGTTACCAAGCGTGTTCCAACATACGCAAGAGTTCATGCTTCCAAAATGAAAGCTCCCACAACAAGCACATCCAGGGGGATGTACAAGGGTTTCTTATTCTCCCGGCAGACACGGGTAAAAAAACCTTCAGCTCGTTATCCAAGAGACGGTAAAAAAAAACTTGAAGCTCGTTACATAGAGACGGTAGCACATGGCACTTTTCTGACGCAGACATTGCGGGAAAAAACGGAGCAATTTGACGGGAAAGAACAATAGCAAGCCAAGACAAAAGAAAGAGAAGGAGAGGGAGAGCGAGAGAGAGAGAGGGGAGAGGCGAGATTTAGACGGCTTTTCTTTCTCCTTCCGGTTGCTCACACCTGTAGGCCTCGGCTCGCCCACGCGCTCCGCCAAACGGCGAGGGACCGAACCCCGCACGCCGGCCACAGGGGCGGCGGCAAGCGCTCCATCTCCATCTTCTTCGCCTCCTTCCTCCGCCAAGAGGAACTAACGCGCCACCGCCGCGGCCGATGTCCGCCAGCCTCCACATCGTCGTCGTCGTCGTCGTCAACTGCGCCGCCGCATTTACAACCGCAACAGCCACCCCCGCCCTCACCCCACCTATCTACATCGCCCCCGCCTCCGTTGCCGCCGTCGCTGCATGCAGACGCCAGGAGAACGCCGCTCTCCCCTTGCACGGCCCCTCCTCTCGCCTCCCCGTCCGCCGCCCGCGACAGCGGCCGTTGCTGCTGCTGCTGCTGCTGCTGCTGTTGCGGGCGCAGCGCCTCTGCCCCGCCGCCGCCGGCCCAGAGAAGGTTCTCGTAAAGTTCTCGGCGGCTGCGGACCTGGGACCACACGGAGACGGTCCGGTCGCCGTTGTTGCCGTTGCTGCCGATCGGGGTGGCCCGCGAGGACCGGGCGTGGGCCAGCGCTCTTTCGTACTCGCTGTCATGCAGGAAGTCGTTAAACCACCTGTGGGATGTGTGCGTGCGTGTGTGTTTTATATTATTAGCAACGACCGCGCTAACCGACTGACCAATGAAGAAGGCATCAGTCTCAGCGTGGTTGAAAACACAAAACACTTTTAAATGCCATTAGCTTTGTGTGTGTTAAGGACATGAAGTTACAGAAAGACTGTTAGTCCCCGTTCGATATATAACCACATTCAAAGGGGACGTACACAGTCTTTGCAGGGAAAAGGAGAAAAACCAACCGGCCGTTTGTTGTTTTTTTCGAAAGCCGGCAAGAGTGAGAGCGAGAGCGAAAGGGAGAGGGCGGCTAAGGATGG